AAAATAATAATTATAATATTATTATAATATCATATTATATGATAAAATAATAATATTAGAGTTATTAATATAATTATGATATTATTTGTTACAATATTACTATTATATTATATTACGAGTCTGAATTTTAGATTGGAAAGATTGTAAATTTTAAATTTCATTAGGGGTATTATAAAAGTTTCGTTAATTGTACTATGTTGATTTCCGCACAATCTAAAAGCTAAAGTTGTCTTTAGGCTGCTTCTGATTTTGGTTGTAGATTCTTAAAAAATTCTTCATAAAAGCACTTTTGAGAAGATTTACCCAACACTAAAATTAGTTTCTGCTACAAGCAGAAGTTGATTTTGGGGGGGCAAAGCAATACCAAACTAAGCCAATATCTTATTACAGTTCGCAGAATTCTTCAAAAAGTACTTTTGAGAAGATTTACCAAACACTAAAATCAGTTTCTACTATAAGTAGAAGCTAATTTTGGGAGGAAAATGCAATACCAAACTAAGCCAATATCTTATTACAGTTTGCGGAATTCTTCAAAAAATATTTTTGAGAAGATTTACCAAATACTAAAATCAACTTCTATTACAAGCAGAAGTTGATTTTGGGAGGGAAAAGCAATACCAAACTAAGCCAATATCTTATTACAGTTTGTGGAATTGAATAGTTTGTCTCAAATTCTTATACCTTCCCCATTAATGCAGCTGCTAAATCTCTTCAGGAGGGGAAGTCAGTGGATCCTTGTACTCCCAAAGGATATTTACACGACTCAGAGTCGTGGGGACTCTCTCCAGGTTTGCATGATGAAAAAACTAGGTTATCAACTCTTCAATCTGAGGGGAACTTCTCAGAATGCAGATCTGCTGCATTAATGATGTTGCAAAAAGGAAAAGGTGAGAACTGCTCGCTGTTCTACATTGTTTCATTTTACAATAACAAATCTTCTATTTGTTTTTTTTTTAATATGTATTTATCTGAGATGCAGAGAAGTGCTCTTATCAGCATTGCTATATAGGATCAACTTTCCTACCAAAGCTCCGGGGGAAATTTTTGGCAACAGAAAATTTCTTCCACACATCCGAGGTTTGTGGTCATATACTTCTTCATTGTTTAGTCTTGCAGGCTTTCCTATTTGTCATGCTTTTAAATGTTCTTAACTGTGAATCCATTTGTGAGAAGAAAAAGTAGTACTTACTGCCTTCTTAAGACCTTTTATTGATTTGATTTCTTATGCCTTTCTTTTATTTGTTTGTTACTTATCAGTTTTTTGGTTTGGGTCAAAAGTCATTTCTTCCTGACCTGATTATGGCTGGACAACAATTTTGTGGACAAGACTGGTCAAAGTTGAAGAAGAGATACGACTTTCTTCATGAGGAAGATTTGAGACACTACTGCTTCTCTTCTGCTTATATTGTGGCTCTACTTCATGACAGTCTTGGAATTGCTTTGGATGAAGAAAGGTATATTGCATACTTTACTTCAGTATCACATCCTCTTTGAATAAAGAGAGCCTACTTGTTCAACTGACATATAGAGACCTAAATCTCTTGTAACGTTCCTTGCATGAGACTGGCTTTAGTCCAATTCCCCAATACCGGTCATTTAATATGGCTGCCCGATGATTATTTCCACATAGTGTACCCAGAAATGCATTATGCTTCACTGCTTGTTTTGAAGCCTAATAAAATGCATAGCCCTCAATATCATATTTCTGAAATTTAGAAAATATACCTATATGTTTCAGTTATTCCCCACTCCTCTTTGTGCCTTCTACGTTATGCATGTCTTTTTACACGTTTGATGTGCGCACACGTCTGTATTTTTGTTCCATGCCCTTGTCGTACATGGGCATTAGATTTCATGTTCAATTTTGTATTCAATTGATTAATTGTGTCGGTTGTAATTACTCTTGAGCAGGATTACAGTTGCAAGTCAGGTGGAAGACATTCCACTTGACTGGGCTTTGGGAGCCTTCATTTTGCAAACCACTGCTATTTTGGAAGCTGAGCACCCTAACTGGATTGCCACTGTCATCAGTGAGGACTCGACGACACTCATCTCACTAATTGTTGTCTTTGCAATATTGATGTTTACGGCATGGTCTGTATCGAAGTGGCGGAAACCACAGTTGAAGACAATTTATGATCTGGAGAAAGGACGGTATATAGTCACTCGTGTTGGTAGATGTCGGTAGATTCTTTTGAAAGGTAATTTCATAATATGTTTCGCCAATCAGTATAGAACATTGTTCTAGTTATGACACTCCGTCCAAGCTGCTTAAGCATGCTAAGGTTAGCATCTGGTACCAAGGTCAGGATCAACTATAAATGATGTCAGTACATTTGGGTCAGATCAGAATGCAGGGCGACCTGTGCAAGAGCTAGAATAGAAAGATTGAACTACCATTTTGTGTTTAGTGGAAAACTAAGATCTCATCTACATTCCATTTTGACGGTGGAAGGTTCGTTTTGGGAAAGCTACAGTCGGGGATGTTGGACGGTGTGCCATTTTGAATGATAGTATATGATTTAGATATGCTTTTTTCACACTCAAATACTCATTCCATCCATAGCTATAAGCGATTGGTTTTATCATTTACCACAGTAAGAATTAATATATTTTCTTTCTTTTTTTTTCCTTGAATAGATGATCAATGTTCAGTCTTCAATTTCCTATGATTCATTGTATCGAGATCACTACTAATGTAAATTATTGTGGAATATTTTGACCACAGAGACATGAAACCTTTATTGCTTGCTATTCAAGAGTCAGGACCCTAAAAAGATAATTCCTACTTAAGCCAACGTTTAATGGATGTTTTCTTTTAAATCCAAAGTTTTCTCCTTTAGAAAGCATCCTTGCGGTACGATTATAAGGGTTTCTTCTAAATTAAAAATAATAATTCTCTCATACCCTACCTGTGGAACACCATTCCGAGGTTGAACCGTCAAATCTTTACAAATTTCTATTAATCTGTGATACTTTCATATTTTAATGTGATTATGACCCGTTTAATTATTCAAAATCACACACTCCCACAATGGTATTATATGAATAATTAAACACTCCCACCATGGTATGATATGAATAATTAAACACTTCCATTATAGTATGATATGAATAATTAAACACTCACTATGGTATGATATTCTTTTGTCTTAGAAAGCGCCATAAATAGATGTTCAAAGTATTTTCCTGACGTATTGCATTAATTGGTTCAAAGACTAGAACTTTTGGAAGATGCTCATTCAAACCGGAGCTACGTTCGGGCATATAGGACCAACATTTGACAAAAAGAAAGAGGTGGAGGGTGGTGCCAGATCAACCCTCAGGAGGTCCATATGGATAGGAACTTGGAGTTCTTTTTTAATAAAAGGAGGGAATTGGAGGAAGAGAAGAAGAGATGAGAGGAGGGAAACGGTCCATATCAAGATTGTAAATGCAAACGACTGGTCTACGTGGCAATGGACTTCCTCTGGAAAGGCAGGATATAAAGTTTGATCGTTGAACAGAACAGTGAACATATATATATATATATATATAAGGAAAACTGAAATCATTGAATCAAGCCAAGTAAAGTTCTCGAAAAGTTGTGAGGAAATGAACATGTTTGACCAGGAAGAGTGGAGTAAGATGTACTCTCTAGGTGAACCATGCGTGGTGTGATATAAATACGGCAGTTCTGTATACATGTAATGTATTAACCCATCTCTATATACGCGTATAGTGTACTTTTTAACTCTTGTAAAGTTCCTAAAAGACCGTTCATGGAAACTCTTTAATCTTGGATTATTTTCATCCGTCGTTTTTAAAGTTTAGCGTGTTTGTATTTTGTTTCTAAACTTTAAAAATTTACAATTTTATCCCCTAAATTTTAAATTAGTTTTATTTAACCCCATTTGTTCGAAATTATGTTAAAAATATGCATTTAAAAGTGTTAAGTGTGGTCAAGTGGTCTTTTTATATTTATTTTAAAGGAAATTTTATAGAAAGATTAGAGTGCGTTTGGTTGTGAATTCGTATCATAATTCGGATCATTATTTGTGGTTCGTTACTGTATTTTTTTTATAAAAAACACACGTAAATTGAAAATAATTCTGAATCATGATTATGAATTCATCAATTAAACGTCTATTTAATTTCTTTTTTTTCTCTATTTTAACAAAAATTTGAATAGAGAAGTGGGGTTAATTTAAAATTAAGAGAATAAAAATGAAAGTTTTAAAAATTTAGAGAGTAAAATAAAAATAATTGTAAAATTCAAGAGCAACGTGTACGTCTTAATTGTGATTTCCGTTTTCCACCGCTGCTTCCTAGAGAGACGGGGAATCAAATAACACTTAAAAGGAAGCCAAATGATATTTTCACCTTTCTGTCTTTTGTGTCTCTATGTACTTCAATTTTCTCTCTCTTTGTATTTCACTTCTCAATGAGGTCAAGCTTGGCAATGATTTCTCCCTCTCTGTTTTTTTTTTTTTTTTTTTTTGGCCCTTTTGGCTGAAGCGTGAAAGGCAATGATATCTTTTGGGTGTAAGAAAACATAATGAGTTACGCGTCTATACTGTTGTAATTGAAAGAGGCTGCTTTATGGCCCTAGTAGTAGTGAAAAGATAATCGCTATCATTTAGAAGCAATATGAACAGCCATCCAATTTTGTCTTCAAATTAATGGGCTTTTTTTTCACTAAAAAGGAAAAAAAGACAAATATTTTTATACTCATGAGTATAAATTTTTATTTTTTATTTTTAAAAATATTAATTTTAATTATATAATTATATTAATAAAAAATAAGGTGTGATCTAGAATACACTCTAAGTGGCTCTCTCTATTCTAACTCTGTTGGCCAGGATTGAATATAGATTCTACCTAGGGGTTATATTTCCTTTTCCTTTCATTTTCTATTCTTTATTTTTTTCCCCTTTTTTCCCTGGAAAGTGTTGGAATTTTAAAAATGTAGAAAATGATCCATATCCGCAAAAGTTAGAGCCACGCTTTCATAATTGTGGGAGAGTCTTCACATATTAATGTTGGCAACTGGTAGAGCTTGATGGGTTTTGGTCGGTTCAAAGAATTGGCCAATCTTAATTATTGCCACCCCTAATCATTCTCACTGTTGTTACAATACTTGAATTTTACTATTAGAACAAAAACCAAAACAAAAATTATTATCCACGTGTTTAAAAGGATTACAAATAAAACTTAACTAGAGTTGCAAATTATAGGACGTCGACATTAGAACAATATCATCATTTTTTTTTAGAATTAAAAATTGTTATCACTAAATCAAAGCATCTAATACAATAACTCCTTTTAGAGAGCGACGCGATTCCCACAACATAAAAGATCAAGGTGAGTTATTGTATTAGCTTCCCTAAATATATGATTTTGTCATAACTCATCAAAAATAAGAAAATATACAACACATCTCATAACAAAAACCAAACTTTTTGTAATTCAAAGTATTAATATTAAGTTTGAGCTTGAACAAAAACCAAACGCGAGAAGAGTATCCAAGTAAAGGAATCTAATAAGCTCTCTACACTCTCACATTTAGTTAGTGTATTTATATCATGATTTGAATTATAATTCGTGATTTATTATAATATTTTTTTTTATAAAAAATACACATAAATTGAGAATAATTATGAATTCATAAACTAAATTGAGCGCAGCTTCTTAAAATTGTTAGGATTTTCTCAAGCTCTAATCTTGTGCCTCCATGGAGGATCAAACTGTAGGAAGCAAGGGCCCTGGGAGGGTGAATGTGATGGATTCACTGGAGCAGTCGGTATCGGTGCAAGAATATGAGGACATGTTCCTCGATTTGGTTCCTTCGGAGGAGTTGGGTGTGGCCTTTTCCAAAAAGGCCCTATGTCAGGTTATTTCCAAGAAACCTCTCCCCGAGTTTCTCTTAAGAAACGCTAAAGGAAGTTCGGTGGAACCTGGTGGACATGGGTAAAGGTGTGCTGGGGCTTTTCTTCGACAAGGATGAAGAATGTTCGAGGATTTTTGACCGGAGGCCATGTAATGTTCAAGGTGCATGCTTAATGCTAAAGCAATGGCCAGAAACTGGACGGTGGGAGGATGCTGGTTTTTCCACAACAACTTTCTGGGTTCAAGCTCATGGCTTGCCGGTTTTCTACAACTCAGAGGATAATACGACGCGCGTGGCAATGAAAGTTGGCATCAAAGGGACAGAGTTTCAGATCTGGAAGTTCCCGAAAGGAGCCCACCGGAGATTCATGAGGTTCAGAGTTGAGGTCTATGGCCAGGAGCCGCTACCGGGAGGCTATTTCCAGAAGCCTCCATTGGGGGGAAGACCATCATACTGGGTTCAAATGAAATACGAGAAGTTGCCTTTAATTTGTTTCAAATGTGGCAGGATCGATCGTGAAGAAAAGGGTCGTGCTTCTGTGATAGCGCTAACTCAGACGTGTGGAGGCAAACAGGTTCAACTTTATGGCCCGTGGATGAGATCCGATACTGGAGAGACTTGCTTCATAAGTGTGAAAGCGACAGACGATGAGGCGGTGGCGGCTGCCAGTATGGGGATGTAAGGTATATCAGTTCAGGGAATTTCAAAATCAAAAGCCCTCCTTTCCTGTTTCCGGCAGCGACGGCGATGGCGCAAAGATAATCTTTACGGAGGATGCCACCCCTGCCACAAGGGACAAAGCCAGGTAGTGGAGTTGTACGAGAAGGTACTGAGGTAGTGGATTCGCCATCGGTCAGGTAATAGAGCTGTACGAGAATGTATTGAGATAGTGAATTCTCTATCTAGTGAGGAGTCCTTAACAGATACTCTATCAGAGCTTGAATAAAGGTGGTGCTAATGTAGAGGATAAAATTACTATTATTAGATGCTAGAAATCCCACGTGTCGGTTTTTCGATTTTGTTGAACAGTCATTTGGAATTAACGAACTTGGAGCTGGGCTCAAACCCGTCAAGAAAGGGGGAGGAACCGGTCATTTTACACGGCATTACACCAATGAAATGACAAAATTACCCTCGAAGACTATAAAGAAAATTATCACCGAACTCCTTTCGAGACGTTCGATAAAGCCGAAGACACAAAGAGGTACTATAAATAGCAACAAACGAACCAATTTATTTTCTCCAATCCAATATTGTCCTTAAAAAAGAAATTAAAAAACAGACAATTCTCTCTCTCTCTCTCTCCCCCCCCCCCCGATTTGTTCGCTCCGTCATTCACGCGCTTTCGTAGCTGATTTCCAGGTAATAACAAAGGGGAAATATTTTCCCATCGGGTTTTCTCTCGTTTTCTGTTCTCGGAAACCTCTGATCCGCTGCCTTGTCCGGCGTGATCCTGGGTTTCCAGGGCTCAATTTGACTATAATTCCTTGGGGTTTTCTTATCTTCTCCTTTTCTGCTGATTAATTGAAGTTTCTGAATGTTGAATGCTGTGAATTAGGGTTTCGTCTTCTTCATTTTTTTGGGGTGTTTTGAGTAGCGATGAGCGACCACATGGTGGTGTTTGTTGACCGTCTGATCAGGCCGGTGGCCGTGCAATCGGCGGCGGAATCGTCCGAGGTTTCTGGTTCCGGGCCGGTCGACGGCGGTGCTGATGGCGGCCCAGGCCCAAACGCAGCTGGCCCAGGCCCATCCTCTTCGGCGACGGATGAGAAGCAAGAGGATGAGGAGGGTTTGGGCGAGGAGGAACCGCTGATTCAGACGGCGGAGTGTCGCATTTGCCAGGAGGAGGACAGCCTCAAGGATTTGGAGACTCCTTGCGCTTGTAGTGGTAGCCTCAAGGTTATATTTTTATGATTATATCTTTTTTAATTATTGTGTTATATATATATGCTGGATTGCGTGATTTGAATTCTTTCATGTTTGAAGTCTTATTAGGTGTTTGTATTTCTCCAGAATTTGCTTAATGGTTTGTAAAGGTTTCAATTTGAATTATTTCATCTTTGAGGTGTTATTGGGTATTTGATTTCACTGGAATTTGCGTGTTGTGGTTTGTAAAAGGTTTCAATTACTTGCTTCATCTTTGAGGTGTTATTGGGTGTTTGGTTTCTCTAGAATTTGCGTATTGTGGTTTGTAAAAGTTTCAATTTGATTTCTTTCATCTTTGAGGTGTTATTGGGTGTTTGATTGCGTATTGTGGTTTGTAAAGGTTTCAACTTTTCCTTGTTTTGTTTGCACGTCTGTGGGTGGTGACAATCCACGCCGGATTTGCGTGATGTATTGGATGAACTTTTTTGTTGGAAATGGTTAGGATGTTGATAATGTTGAATAAGTGCTTTAAAGTTGAAAATTAAATGGGTTTTTTTTTTCTTTTAAGGACAAGATAGAAGATGATGGATGCTTGATTGTAGATGTTTGTAAATTGTAATGACAGAAGGGCGAAGGCATATTAATTTTCTGTTTTTCTCGACCTTGTCAAATCTACGGTCAGATTTGCTAAATAGAGTGAAATGTTGTAGTTTCAGAGGATGTTTAAGTTTCTATTTATGGAGATGTGTAGAGGTTTACATGAATATGAGTGTCTATATAACTTCTTGTTTTGGCCTTAACCTGTTGCACAAGGTTAAATCTTTTTTTTTTTCCCCTCTCTATATGTGTTTTTCCTTGTGGAGTTGGATATCACCTCAGATTTGATATTGTTCCCCTAAACAAAGAACAAACATGTACCTTCAAATTTTTCCCTTGTATTTCTGCCCGCATCTCCATTTGTTAGTTTGGTTTCTGATGCAAATTAAACATACTTTGTTCAGTATGCTCATAGGAAGTGTGTTCAGCACTGGTGCAATGAGAAAGGTGATACAATTTGTGAGATTTGCCATCAGGTAGGCTATTAATTTGTTTTCCTTTAGCCTTCTAAAGTATGTTATTTCATAAGTTGTGCCTCTTAACGCTTATTAGCATTGATGGCTGCAGCCTTACCAACCTGGTTATACTGCACCTCCTCCACCACCTCCTGATGAAACTGCCATTGAGATTGGGTATGTATTATACAGCTTTCTTATTTTTAATAGTTGACTTGTGCTTTGAGTGAGAGTGATTTAATGATGTTCATATCGTGTATATTTCTTGCAGTGGAGGGTGGACAATATCTGGCACTCCGTTGGAGTTGGATCCTCGTCTCTTGGCAATTGCAGAGGCAGAACGTCATTTTCTGGAAGCTGAGTATGATGACTACGCTGCTTCTAGTGCCAGTGGAGCTGCATATTGCCGTTCAGTTGCCCTTATTGTAAGCTCATGTATTTCTAAGTTGTTATATCCTAGTGAGGATTTGAAGTCATCCATCTTGGAAACAGGCCTGATTTTTACGTGAACGTTCTCTCTTTTGGCAGTTAATGGCCCTTCTTCTCTTGCGGCATGCATTGGGTATTACAGATGCTGACGCTGATACTGAAGATGAAACATCTGCTTTTTTCTCTGTAAGTAGAACTGCGCTGGCATTCTTGTTATGAAGTAATCCGTTGATGCTTAACTACTAGACCTCAACTCGTTTCGTGTTTCATATTTTGATAATAAAATTAATTGATGCTTTGCAGCTTTTCTTGCTCCGTGCTGCTGGATTTCTTCTTCCTTGCTACATTATGGCTTGGGCCATCAGTATGTTACAGCGTAGAAGGCAAAGACAGGTAAACAACATTGCCTCCACTTTTCTGCTCTACTCTCATTAGGGTATTTCTTTATTTTCAAACTTTCCTTTGGTTAATTTTCTAGAATAATTTTGTGAAACAGGAGGCTGCAGCATTGGCAGCGACGCAAGTAGCTTTTGTCCTGCAATCTGGGCAACGTGGGGGACTGCAATTTGCAATAGCATCCGGACGGCCAGCACCATCAGGACCCACGGTTGCCTCACCCCAAGAGGCTGTTTAATGTTGTTGTATATGGGCAGCAAGAAATTCCTGAGTTGAATGTGGCGCATTTGGGAGGGTGATTCAGCGGAATGTGATGAAAAATAAATGGAAAACCTTTCCTTCGTTTAAACGTATAAATAGATTTTTTTTTAATGGATGATTAGATATTTAAAAGAAGAGAAATTGTTAACGTGACCGTGTGAAATTCTAATTTCATCGTCAAATTGGCCATGGCTACCCCATGTTGGTTCTGCTTTTGATGTCTTTCTCTGTTTTCCATGTATATATCGATTTCAATCAGAGAAAAATTTATATTAGCTCAAACATGTTGGTTGTTATTTGGAATGTGTTCATGTCGTCTGTCATGTTCAACATAAACATCTGTATCTAGCTGTATTTCATATTTTTGTGGTCATCATTATCGTTTTCTTTTTTCCTTTTCTAACGAATTTTTGCAATCATCCGTCTTAGCTGTAAATTGATTGGAAAATTTAGGTTTTGTTAATTTCACCGATTTGAGTTTTCAATTATAGTTTTATTAGTTAAAAGTTATCATAAAAAGTCATATTTAATTAATTTTGTTACAGTTAAAAGTTTTTATATAATTACATTTTAGTTTGAATTAAAAATTTGAATTAATGAACTGAATGAGGTTTTAATGGGTGTGATTGGAATTGTTTTTAAAAATATTTTTATACGTCTTTTGAGGCACGAAATTAAAAATGATTTATCAATCGCGTTTGTTTAATAAATATTTTAAAAATAGAAATGAAAATAAAAAATAATAAGAATAATTTTTGTAAAGAAAGTATAACGTTTTCATTTTTTAGTACTTATTAACAAAATTTTATTTAATAATTAATAATTAATAAATATATATATACTTAATAACTAATAAATAGACAGTAATTATTTAATTATTAATTAACTATTAATTTTTTACTATTAAGTTTATAATTTTATTAATTAAATAATAAATAATATAGTAATTAATTATTTAGTTAAAGATTAATTATCAAAAATTAATTATATAACATATTAACAATAAAACAAGTAATAATAGGTTATTAAATAAATAACTAATAACTAATTCAATTAATAATTAATATTAAATTATATATCAATATGTAATATACTAATCAATAATAATTAATAATATAAAATAAATAATTACTAAAAATGAGCTACTCTGGGAATTCGGATTATGGTGGGGTCAAAAGAGATGGCAATGGGAATATTAATAAATTGTGTATATACTAATTATTTTTCTTAATACACTAATTAATTATTTATAATCTAATAAATATGAGTATATTACTAATATAATAATTACTTATAATTAATTACTAATTACTATTTTTTAATTATTTTACATATTAATTTATTATATATATAGTTTAATTATGAATGTACTCATTAATGATAAATTATTATTCATTATTATTATTATATTATTAATATATTAATTTTTATTTGCTAAATAATTATCAATTATTAATTACTTAATATATTATTTTAAGATTATTAATTATTTGTACTCAAAACAAACATAAATGTAATCAAACACGATTTCACTTTTTTATCATACTTAAACCAATCTCTTGAAAGACCACCAAATGTAATTTTAAAATTGATTCCAGAATGATTTTCAAAACAATCTTTTTTTTTATTTTTGTATCGAAAATATACCCATTTTGAAAACAATACGAAACGGACCCAATATTTCACTAGTTTTCTGTAATAGGCAATGGGATACAAATATGAATGGAAATGATATGGTAGTTTATGTGGAAGAAACGGACCCAATATTTCACTAGTTTTCTGTAATAGGCAATGGGATACAAATATGAATGGAAATGATATGGGAGTTTTATGTGGAAGTAATATGCTAGAGAAAGTCAATACAAGCCATGATGCAATTATTAGGCTGTTACTTATATAGTTCAAAAGTTATTTTTGAACCTATTTGAAAAGATAATGTTAAAAGTGTTTTTGTCTTTTATATGCACTTTTAGAATAAAATTACTTTATTAGTCTGTTACTTAAGGCCTATTTGTTTCCATTTCCGTTTCCATTTTTCACAGTTTTCGAGAACGAAAAATGAAAACGCGTTTGGCGTAAAATTTTCCAAAACTTAAAAACAAAAACGATCTTGTCCTTATCTGAAAAAAGGGTAAATGGAGTTTGGGTTCGAATTCCATAGATAATATGCATGGTATTGTCTATTAATGATAGGCGAATGAAAGGCTTTCTCACGATTTTTATTCATCCACTTGATGCTTTATTTTGAAAATGGGGTTTAATGGGTTTTGGTTGAACTTGAAAATTCACTCACTGAAATTGAATAAGTAAACAATTGAATTTAGTTGGATGTTTGTTACCAACGAAATCGAGTGCTAACGCCCATTTCTTAATTGAATTAACCGATCAACTTAACTTACTTTGCTATCCAACATTTATTTTTGATTTCAATAGTTTTTCGCAAAAAATTTCAACATATTTTTTTATGAGAATAAATCCTACTACTTCTAGTCCTGGGGTTCCCGCGCTTGAAAAAAAAAACCTGGGGCGTATTGCTCAAATCATTGGTCCGGTACTAGATGTAGCTTTTCCGCCGGGCAAGATGCCTAATATTTACAACGCTCTGGTAGTTAAGGGTCGAGATACTGTTGGTCAACAAATTAATGTGACTTGTGAAGTACAGCAATTATTAGGAAATAATCGAGTTAGAGCTGTAGCTATGAGTGCTACAGATGGTCTAATGAGAGGAATGGAAGTGATTGACACAGGAGCTCCTTTAAGTGTTCCAGTCGGCGGAGCGACGCTAGGACGAATTTTCAACGTGCTTGGAGAGCCCATTGATAATTTAGGTCCTGTAGATACTCGCACAACATCTCCTATTCATAGATCTGCGCCTGCCTTTATACAATTAGATACAAAATTATCTATTTTTGAAACAGGAATTAAAGTAGTAGATCTTTTAGCCCCTTATCGCCGTGGAGGAAAAATAGGACTATTCGGGGGGGCTGGAGTAGGTAAAACTGTACTCATTATGGAATTGATCAACAACATTGCCAAAGCTCATGGAGGTGTATCCGTATTTGGCGGAGTAGGTGAGCGTACCCGTGAAGGAAATGATCTTTACATGGAAATGAAAGAATCCGGCGTAATTAATGAACAAAATATTGCAGAATCAAAAGTGGCTCTAGTCTACGGTCAGATGAATGAACCGCCGGGGGCTCGTATGAGAGTTGGTTTAACTGCCCTAACTATGGCGGAGTATTTTAGAGATGTTAATGAACAAGACGTACTTCTATTTATCGACAATATCTTTTGTTTTGTCCAAGCAGGATCCGAAGTATCCGCCTTATTGGGTAGAATGCCTTCTGTTGTGGGTTATCAACCCACTCTTAGTACCGATATGGGTTCTTTACAAGATAACCTTCCCGACCACGATTTTTTCTTTTTTTTTTTCTAGGCTTCTCGCCTCGAAATAAGAAATTGTATTGATACTAGGTATCAAAAAAACATAGTAAATTAAAGTAAATAAAAAGTAGTAAATAGAAATAGGTATGTATATAGTGGGTTCCATCGTTTCTATACTCACGTCTTAAACGGTGAGGTCCTCTCTATACACCGGAGCCTCTTCCCTCATTTAATTAATGTTAACTTGTACAGTTCACACTCTTTGGCTCTACCCATAATTATCCAGTAATAGGTCTTTCACAACAAGACTCACCTATACAGTAACGGTATTTAATTATGAAGATTAGCTGAGTAGCTGACCCTGTTAGTCCGTTCTTGCAAGAGTCAGGGCATAATCTTTCTGCTCTTTAAATAGGATTTCCCTGCTTAATAGAGATGTCGTTTCTAGTCTATCTCTTTCTATTTCTATATATGGAAAGTTAAAAAATCATCATATAATAATCCAGAAATTGAAATAGAAAAGAAAAAGGGGAGGTTTGTGATGATTTTTCAATCTTTTATACTAGGTAATCTAGTATCCTTATGCATGAAGATAATAAATTCGGTCGTTGTGGTCGGACTCTATTATGGATTTCTGACCACATTCTCCATAGGGCCCTCTTATCTCTTCCTTCTCCGAGCTCGTGTTATGGAAGAAGGAGAAGAAGGAACCGAGAAGAAAGTATCAGCAACAACCGGTTTTATTACGGGACAGCTCATGATGTTCATATCGATAACATTTCCTAACTAACATATATAATGTTATATTAATATATTTATTTAATAAATTATTAATTTAAATATTATTACATGTTTTTAAAAATTAAACTACCAAACACAATTTTAGTTTTTTTAAACTGAAAACAATCTCATAATAAAACTACCAAACGCATTTTCAGACATGATTCAAAAATAAAAATAAAAACGTTTTCGTTTTCATTTTTATACAAAAAACAAAAACGTTTTGGAACCAATTCCAAACGCACCCTTAGTGTTTATGAAAAAAGAGCTTATAAAAAAGTTTTTTTATTTGACTTATTTATTCAAACACATTCAAAAACATTTTTGAAATATAAAAACACTTTTTATGTATAATTCAAATACTAATTAAAAAATCTTTTAACTTATACTTTTCTTTTCTACTGCTTAAAAGTAAAAGTATAAACTCTTCTAAACAGGTCATTATTATAGGAAAAACAATTGAAGTGTTTTTTGTTGCTTGCTCAAAAAATAAAAAGAAAAAAAAAAGAAATGAAAGGAAAAGAAAGAAGCGTCACATGAAAAGAAAGGAAAGAAGCTTCACAGCTCGAGATCACTGAGATAAAAAATACATGTGTCTAAATAGACTAAACTATGAGTAAAGTTGAAACTGAAATACAATGAGTCAAAAGAAATTAAAAAAAAAAATGTGTTGAAAATTAAAAATACTTGCAAAGCAATTAAAAAAAAAAAAAAAAAAAAAAAAAAAAAAAAAAAAAAAGAACACGTTGAAATTTGTTTGGGGTTTGTGAGGGATCCTCTGGCCCGGGTACAACTGAGAAGGCATTTGCTTAACCATGAGCTTCAAAATATGATAATTAAAAAGCAAAAAAAAAAAATCTCAAAGACCTAGAGGGTGGGCATCCTTTGCAAGTTTTCTCTACGGACAATGGGCAACTGATTTTTATAATTTTTCTTAGATGAAGAAAATCTTAAAGAACTGTTGACTTAAGCATAATACAACAGTGAAATTATACATATATATGTGTGTGCATATGTATGTATATATCTATATATAATATCATAGCTAATAAATTTATGTCAAGTGTCAAGTTATATGTCACATCGCATGTATGCAAACAACAAGAACATGTTCGGAA